ACTAATGTACTAATATTCATATATACTTAATATATTAAATAATAAATACATAAACTATTAAAATATATAAGTTAATTGTGCGGGTCGGGTAATGGTGCGGGTAACCGTATCCAAATTAAACGGGGCGGGTAGGTATAAACCCATAACCGCCCCATTACCCGTTTACATAAATCGGGTATTCCCCGCCCCGTACCCGTTACCCAGTCAAAACGGTTTTCCCCATTTTGACCGGTTCGGTTCGGTGCGGGTATCCATCGGGTCGGGTTAAATTGCCATCCCTAGATATGTGTAGCAAACTCAAGAATAAAGTACTTGGTGTTCTTTATCTACATAATTTAAGTAAGGTTGCTATTTGTTTTTCCTTTTCTTGGTGTTTCGCTGCATTGAGATTCAAAATTGTAGGCTTCGAATCAAATTTGTAGCAATTTGATAGTTTGGTTTTTCTTTGGGTTTTGGTTGCTGAACGGGTGAAATAGTTTCCAAATGATTAGGTGGAATAGATCGATGGGAGTGGAATTGGTATAATGCAGCGTCTCCCTGTTCTCTATTTCCCTCACTGCTTAAGCTTCGGATGGCGATTGGGTCAGTTTTTCTGCTGTTCAGCTCACTGAGTCAACCATCTCTCTTTCTAGTTTTTTTTTTGTCTCTTTCTAGTTGCAAGGCTAATTAACTGAAAGTCTGAAACCAAAAGAAATAAAAGAAATAGAGAGATCTTTATACTTTCTATTTAAACCAGTTCTATTGTCGCTCTCATTCCACTTCTGCTTTGAGCTTTCAACGGAACAACAAGATCCTCAAGTGTTTCCCTCATGATATAAGTCTAATCGCAGGTAGAAGAAAAAGTGAGAATTGTATGATCTGTATTCTGTAATTGAAAGTTAAATAGAAAATGGGGTGTGCTGTTTCGAGGATGGATCAAGAAGAGAGGGTTCGCCTGTGTAAGGAGCGAAAGAGGTTGATGAGAGAATTGGTTGGGTATAGAGAGGAATTTGCGAACTCCCAATTATCATATTTGAAGGCATTAAAGAACACTGGGGTGACTCTTAGACAGTTTACTGATTCGGACACATTGGAGCTTGAAACCATCTCCTGCGAAGACCACATTGACTCTTCTCCGTTGCCTCCGCCGCCACCCCCCACCCCCACCTTTTAGCCCTGATTCAAGAAAGAATGGTGATAATTGGGAAGAGAGCGAAGAGATGGAGAGCAGCCAATCTGGAGATATATTTGATGATAGCTCATCAATGATGAACTGGTTTAATAAAGACTCTTCTACAGATGTGGCCGTGGAAGCTTTGAAAATCAGAAAGACACTTGAGGGAATTATGCAGGATTTAAATGACTATTTGTTGAAAGCATCAGCTGGTGCAACAGAAATAGCAGTTTTTACTGACATCAACATTGGGGACAGTGCCGTTCCTTGGAAAATTAAGGAGAACAAGGGGAAGAGGAGCAGGTCTTCTAAGGCCCTTCCAGTTGGTAGAGATTCTGCTCAGTGTGGATCTAATGAGCCATGCAAGCCTGGCGCTCATTGCGTAACCCTTGATAAGCTTTATGTTGCAGAACAGAATCATTTCAAGGATTTGGATGAGCTTGAAAGGAAACTGGCGGGACTGCAGAATCAAGACGAAAACAGTTTAGAGACTTACAATGGGCTCCAAGAATCAATAACCACAATCTCTTCATCTATTTTGGAGGTTATTGATGAAGAGTTGTACCCCCAATTGATTGCATTAACTTCAGGGTTAATGGAAATATGGAAAATGATGTACAAATGTCACGATTTGTTTTGAGAGTATGTTTAAAATTATTTCCGAGGTTGTTTTTATTTACATAATGAGGCAGGCTCAATTTCACCAAATTGTTTTGACCTTTTTAAAATGGAATCGAATGTCAAGTTAAAAGCCGTCTGTAGGACTCTTTGTGTTCGTAAAAAGAACCTGATAATATTCCTCCAAAACCTACACAATTTTATTGTTCAATCTAGATTTGTCCAAGTTATAAAATTTACCAGGCAAAATAAAACCTATAGTTTTATGGTATCCAGTGAGTTTGATCTTCATTACGAGATGACAAATAAATGAATAAAAGTTTAAGTTATAAATGTACGTGGCTGAACATGGATCGGGAGATTCAAAACCAGTATATATAGAAAGTTTTGCTAACTTTACAGTTTATTTTATTTTCACGGCGTAAGTGTCATCATTCGACAGTATTTTTAAAATTATTTTTGGTTGTGTTTTTATGATAACGTGTGATATAGTTACTATTGGTGGTGGTCGATAGGTATTTTGCCATCACAAATTTAGGGGTGCTATTTTAAGATTACGGTGGTTTAATGATAAGGATAGTAAGTCTTTGATAACCTGTGAATCTATGATGTAGGCTGAATCACAACTAATGACTTGGAAATTTTTAACAGAGGATCGAACATTAAGTTTGAAGTAACTGATGCGACTCTTAGAATTAGTAAAAAGAGCCTGAAATGTTCCACCAAAATCAATCTAGAGATATTTATTGTTTAATCCAGGTTCAACAGAGTTATGAAATTTATAGGACGAAACGAAACCTCTAGTTTGTGGTAATGCATTGAGTTTGGTTTTTATTACAGGATGATCAATTAAACAAGAATAGATTAAGTTTCAAATGTGAGTAAATAATGGTGGCCTAGTGTCGGTAGGGATTAAAACCAGTATATATAGAAAGTTTTGCTAAGTTAATTGTTTATTTTCATGGCATGTGTTATTATTTGAGAGTATGTTTAAAATTATTTCCGAGGTTGTTTTTATTTACATAATGAGGCAGGCTCAATTTCACCAAATTGTTTTGACCTTTTTAAAATGGGATCGAACGTTAAGTTAAAAGCCGTCTGTAGGACTCTTTGTGTTCGTAAAAAGAACCTGATAATATTCCTCCCAAACCTACACAATTTTATTGTTCAATCTAGATTTGTCCAAGTTATAAAATTTACCAGGCAAAATAAAACCTATAGTTTTATGGTATCCAGTGAGTTTGATCTTCATTACGAGATGACAAATAAATGAATAAAAGTTTAAGTTATAAATGTGGCTGAACATGGATCGGGTGATTCAAAACCAGTATATATAGAAAGTTTTGCTAACTTTACTGTTTATTTTATTTTCACGGCGTAAGTGTCATCATTCGACAGTATTTTTAGAATTATTTTTGGTTGTGTTTTTATGATAACGTGTGATATAGTTACTATTGGTGGTGGTCGATAGGTATTTTGCCATCCCAAATTTAGGGGTGCTATTTTAAGATTACGGTGGTTTAATGATAAGGATAGTAAGTCTTTGATAACCTGTGAATCTATGATGTAGGCTGAATCACAACTAATGACTTGGAAATTTTTAACAGAGGATCGAACATTAAGTTTGAAGTAACTGATGCGACTCTTAGAATTAGTAAAAAGAGCCTGAAATGTTCCACCAAAATCAATCTAGAGATATTTATTGTTTAATCCAGGTTCAACAGAGTTATGAAATTTATAGGACGAAACGAAACCTCTAGTTTGTGGTAATGCATTGAGTTTGGTTTTTATTACAGGATGATCAATTAAACAAGAATAGATTAAGTTTCAAATGTGAGTAAATAATGGTGGCCTAGTGTCGGTAGGGATTAAAACCAGTATATATAGAAAGTTTTGCTAAGTTAATTGTTTATTTTCATGGCATGTGTTATTATTTGAGAGTATGTTTAAAATTATTTCCGAGGTTGTTTTTATTTACATAATGAGGCAGCTCAATTTCACCAAATTGTTTTGACCTTTTTAAAATGGGATCGAACGTTAAGTTAAAAGCCGTATGTAGGACTCTTTGTGTTCGTAAAAAGAACCTGATAATATTCCTCCCAAACCTACACAATTTTATTGTTCAATCTAGATTTGTCCAAGTTATAAAATTTACCAGGCAAAATAAAACCTATAGTTTTATGGTATCCAGTGAGTTTGATCTTCATTACGAGATGACAAATAAATGAATAAAAGTTTAAGTTATAAATGTGGCTGAACATGGATCGGGAGATTCAAAACCAGTATATATAGAAAGTTTTGCTAACTTTACTGTTTATTTTATTTTCACGGCGTAAGTGTCATCATTCGACAGTATGTTTAAAATTATTTTTGGTTGTGTTTTGGTTTACATAGGTCACAGATCCATATGAGGAGCACTATGAAGGCGGATTTAAGTGTGGGCTTATCAGACTGAGGTGAGTGTTGTGATTGACTTTTTATTTTTATGATAATGTATCATATATTCATTGATTGTGTTGGTCGATAGGTATTTTGTCATCCCAAAATTAGGTGTGCTTTTTTCAATTTACCTGTGAATCTGTGTTGTATTTTCTATAACTGTAACGAGGTAGGCTCAATCATAACTAATTGCTTGGACATTTTTAAAAAGGGATCAGACATTATGTTTGAAGTAGCTTATAGGATTTGGGATTTGTAAAAAATGCCTGTAAATGTTTCAGCAAAACCTTCAGATATTTAATCTAGGTTCAACCAAGTTATGAAACTTATCGGATGAAAGGAAACCTCTAGTTTATGGTGATGTGGTGAGGTTTTTTATTATTACGTACGATCAATTAAACAAAAGTTTCAAATGTGAGTAAGTGTTATAAAAAGTTTGAAACTTGTGTATATAGAAAGTTTTGTTAAGTTTTTTGTTTATTTTATTTTCACGACGCAAGTGTTATTATTTGACACTATGTTTAAAATTATTTCTGGTTGTGTTTTGGTTTACATAGGCCGCAGATGCATATGAGGAGCACTATGAAGGCGGATTTAAGAGTGGGCTTATCAGACAGAGGTGAGTGTTGTGCTTGACTTTCTATTTTTATGATGACGTGTGATATAGTTACTATTGGTGGTGGTCGATAGGTATTTTGTCATCCCAAATTTAGGGGTGTTATTTTAAGATTACGGTGGTTTAATGATAAGGATAGTAAGTCTTTGATAACCTGTGAATCTATGATGTAGGCTGAATCACAACTAATGACTTGGACATTTTTAAAAGAGGATCGAACATTGAGTTTGAAGTAACTGATGCAACTCTTAGAATTAGTAAAAAGAGCCTGAAATGTTCCACCAAAATCTATCTAGAGATATTTATTGTTTAATCCAGGTTCAACAGAGTTATGAAATTTATAGGACGAAACGAAACCTCTAGTTTGTGGTAATGCATTGAGTTTGGTTTTTATTACAGGATGATCAATTAAACAAGAATAGATTAAGTTTCAAATGTGAGTAAATAATGGTGGCCTAGTGTCGGTAGGGATTAAAACCAGTATATATAGAAAGTTTTGCTAAGTTAATTGTTTATTTTCATGGCATGTGTTATTATTTGAGAGTATGTTTAAAATTATTTCCGAGGTTGTTTTTATTTACATAATGAGGCAGGCTCAATTTCACCAAATTGTTTTGACCTTTTTAAAATGGGATCGAACGTTAAGTTAAAAGCCGTATGTAGGACTCTTTGTGTTCGTAAAAAGAACCTGATAATATTCCTCCCAAACCTACACAATTTTATTGTTCAATCTAGATTTGTCCAAGTTATAAAATTTACCAGGCAAAATAAAACCTATAGTTTTATGGTATCCAGTGAGTTTGATCTTCATTACGAGATGACAAATAAATGAATAAAAGTTTAAGTTATAAATGTGGCTGAACATGGATCGGGAGATTCAAAACCAGTATATATAGAAAGTTTTGCTAACTTTACTGTTTATTTTATTTTCACGGCGTAAGTGTCATCATTCGACAGTATGTTTAAAATTATTTTTGGTTGTGTTTTTTGTTTACATAGGTCACAGATCCATATGAGGAGCACTATGAAGGCGGATTTAAGTGTGGGCTTATCAGACTGAGGTGAGTGTTGTGATTGACTTTTTATTTTTATGATAATGTATCATATATTCATTGATTGTGTTGGTCGATAGGTATTTTGTCATCCCAAAATTAGGTGTGCTTTTTTCAATTTACCTGTGAATCTGTGTTGTATTTTCTATAACTGTAACGAGGTAGGCTCAATCATAACTAATTGCTTGGACATTTTTAAAAAGGGATCAGACATTATGTTTGAAGTAGCTTATAGGATTTGGGATTTGTAAAAAATGCCTGTAAATGTTTTAGCAAAACCTTCAGATATTTAATCTAGGTTCAACCAAGTTATGAAACTTATCGGATGAAAGGAAACCTCTAGTTTATGGTGATGTGGTGAGGTTTTTTATTATTACGTACGATCAATTAAACAAAAGTTTCAAATGTGAGTAAGTGTTATAAAAAGTTTGAAACTTGTGTATATAGAAAGTTTTGTTAAGTTTTTTGTTTATTTTATTTTCACGACGCAAGTGTTATTATTTGACACTATGTTTAAAATTATTTCTGGTTGTGTTTTGGTTTACATAGGCCGCAGATGCATATGAGGAGCACTATGAAGGCGGATTTAAGAGTGGGCTTATCAGACAGAGGTGAGTGTTGTGCTTGACTTTCTATTTTTATGATGACGTGTGATATAGTTACTATTGGTGGTGGTCGATAGGTATTTTGTCATCCCAAATTTAGGGGTGTTATTTTAAGATTACGGTGGTTTAATGATAAGGATAATAAGTCTTTGATAACCTGTGAATCTATGATGTAGGCTGAATCACAACTAATGACTTGGACATTTTTAAAAGAGGATCGAACATTGAGTTTGAAGTAACTGATGCAACTCTTAGAATTAGTAAAAAGAGCCTGAAATGTTCCACCAAAATCAATCTAGAGATATTTATTGTTTAATCCAGGTTCAACAGAGTTATGAAATTTATAGATTAAGTTTTTCTATACTTATTGGTTTTTATTACAGGATGATCAATTAAACAAGAATAGATTATGTTTCAAATGTGAGTAAATAATGGTGGCTTAGTGTC